AGCTGCCATATTTTATGAAATTGTTGTTGTTTTGTGGTTTTGAATAAAGAAATACCGAGATATATCCACTGCGGCGATAATGGTCTTTATACTTATATTACGTCATCGTAGTAGGCCCTGCAGTCAGCTTGTTTTTCAGTGCATTTTGTTATTGTTGAGAACCAGTGAAGCGTTACGGGCAACAACAAGAGATATAACGAGTTGCATGTTGTGAACTTCTGGTCTTCCATTTCCTGCTAGAATTAGGCCAGTTGAATTGTAGATACAGCATGGGTACATGTACCGGCAACATTACTGTCAGTGTAACGTTGGTATCAACATTTTAACTTCATAGAATAGTTCATTGATTGTTTTATATCGATTAGGCATACGTACTTTACGTACTGACGACAGCTGTGAGTTCAGTGATTGGAAGCTTAACCTGGTAGGACAGCGGGCTTTGCTAGCTCATTGGTCCTGGCCTAGCCCTAGAAGAATAGCATGCTATTAATGAACAGATGAGAATAGCTCATTTATTATTGATCTAGGAAATATTTGTGAGATGTCACCAAAGCATTGTATACACGTGGCAGGGTAATTCGTTAGGCTGTCGTGTCATTTTCTCAGGTAATTTCAGGCGAGAATATCAACAGGTGAAACAGAACTAATGGAAATTTGTACAAAACCCTTCCCCAATATTTTAAACTGCTAGGTTGAAAGAGAACGGTTTCATCTCTTATGTTCTTCGCGTCCAGGCGTGTATAAGAAACATTTTTTGATTTTGAGAATCATTATTTTATATTTTCGTTATGGATGTAAAAAGCTGTGCAATGCCTGTATTCGGCATCTTCAGTTTACTTTTTTTGATGGCAGAGTGTCAAGTTCCTTTTCCCAAAGACATGAGAATGGATGTGGAATTTCCTCCACCATTCAGGTCCAACAGAAAATCTGGAACTGGTGTACCGGACGGTCATCTACGACCTTTAGGTAAGATTTACTGTAAGAATATTCTAACAATGATCCCAATATTTTCAAACATGCACTCAAGACTTATACCTGTTTGCATATTGTACTTCCAGAATATTGTTTTCTGATTTTTGTGTGTAGTACTGTACGTACAACATGTACATGTTGTGGTTTGCTTTTGTTAACTGTTTTGACAATACAGTGATTTCTGTTTATATCTGTACTACTTTACATGCTGCTTTGAGTTTTACCTGAACTATGAGATTTGGTGTCCGCTTATATAATTACAAGAAAAAGGTTCTGTATAAGTGCAAATACCAGTACCAGTACACTAACACTACTGTACCTAGCCAGCTCATGCATTTATTCAATGATCAACTTATTTCCACAGACAAAAGTGTACAAGAGAATCTTGCACAGTTTCAGTTGTTGAGACGATACCAATCATTATAAATGTGCAGTACTTTGGGAGGGGTTAGGCAGGGCCCCGGGCCATGTTGGTGGAAGTTAATGATCATATGGGGAGGCTTGGCTTCGTCTGTGAAAAAAATTGTTTTAGTTACTGATAATTACCTGGGGCGGATCCAGAATTTTTCAAATTGGTGGGGGAGATGGGGCGCATTTTCGTATTTTCTTTTCTTATTTCAATACATAAAATTAATATGGACTGAAATTTAAAAATTTAGTGCCGAAACGGTGGAAAACGTTTCGCCCAATGCCCTTCCCCATTGGATCCGTGCCTGATTACTAATGGTGATGAGTGAAGTATGCCACCATTACCAAATATAGAACAATGTCCGTCAGTATGATAAATTAGCACCCACATTGTTATGTATTTTTAATTAAAAATTCTGTATTTTAAAGGTTTCCAACGTAAGCCAGAAGGAAAGGTAAAGGAGGTGACTGATGTACCTCATCCTAAAGATTTTTCCAGTCTCCATGTCACAAAAAAAAAGCCATTGGTACTCCGAGGTGCTGTCAAAGATGCTTTGGCTTTCGAAAAATGGAGTGACAATTATCTTGAGGAAAAGTTAGTAAAAACATGTCTTGCTCAAAAAGTTAATCAAACATGTCTTTAACATTGATTTAATTGCAAAGATATATTATTTGTATGCTTGTTCTTATTCTAATGTTCATTTAAATCTAACTTCAGTTAGAATTAAAGTTATTTGCACTGCAAATATCAGAAGTTAATAGGGTACGCCCTCATCTTAATTATTAGAACACAAGATCTCCAAAATGGTAGTTTTCAAACCAAACATGGTGCATTAAAGAGATAAACTCCAATGTCTTGCTGTATTCTATAATTTTCCTTCACCAGCGAGATGTAAAAATTGTAAAATGTATATATTATAAATGATATAATGTGTATATCTGGTATATATAAATGGTGTATGTATATACATATATATTTTATATCCATACACATACACATTTACCTTTTAAATCTACAGTATAAAACTGTTATTGATATTTATATATTTGCATTTTTATGTACACATATAATTTATGATTCATATTTTTATTATATATAGGAAAGTATACATTGATACTGTATGTATATTATTATTATAGATACTGTATCTATTATTTTATAAATATATTTTTTTCCATAATTGTTTTTTCAGTTTTGGGGACCTGAAACTTTTAATTGAAGTAAAAAAAGAAAACCGAACCAAAACTCAACAAAACATTATATCATTTAAAGATTTTTTGAGGGGATACAAGCGTGAGGATTGGTATGCTGTAACCGTCCTTCCAGATGAGATGAGACCTCATGTCAAGGTAATGCTGCTCGTGTGTGCTCTTCAACTCCAAATTATTCCAGTATTATCCATGTACAGTACTTGTGTGAGCTTCACTGGCTGTCATATCAAAAAGCACATTTAATTATCTCTAAAACACAAACTAGGCCTGATCTTTCACCCCGGGTCAATTCTAACCCAGCTAACAATTTTACATTATTCAGTAGAACCCCTATTAGGAGGACACTTTAGCAACCATAAAAATTATCCCCTTAATGTGTCCTGTAAATAGGGATACCCCCATTTGGGGCACACTGACCAAAAACGTGAATGGAGGCCAAATCTGGATAGAGCCCAGTGGGGTATGTGGCAAAGGCTTGCCAGCCTCTACATTTATTGATTTCTTAAGGGCATATTTTTTGTAGTAATGTTAGAGTGTGGTGAACACATATCTACAAATTCAAATAACATAATTTAACTGAATAACCTTGCTAATCCTATACTGTATCTTACCTAAACCAGTGGCCAATTCAAGGTGTGCCCAGCCAGCCCGGACCCCCCTAAATTGTTCAAGATTTTAATTAAATAGTGATATAAGAAAAATTTATTCAAATTTTAAGTCTGAGAGTGCAATAATGATAGAGGTGTCCTCCATCTCTGAAAGTATGTCCCCGGGCTCCCTCCATTTTGAATTCCTGGATCTGCAAATGTAAACTGCCAGTCGCACTGAGTATATTTATATAATGAGTTTACTCTGAATAATGAGAGGGAATCCATGATTCATAGTTGCAAAATTTATTAGGTCGTCTACAGGAATGAACCTACTGTACAAAGCCCTATATCTTTGTAATTATTTAATTTAATTTTTTAAATTACTAATTTCAGGTGCCACAGTGTCTTTTGTGCGGCTCATTCAAGAAGTTGATACAAGAGAGCAACTTCTGGATGAGCAGTGGAGGGACTTCATCGGTGCTACATTACGATGCTGATCATAACATTCATTGCTTGCTAGACGGACGTAAAGATTTCATCTTCATTCACCCAAAATATTCAAAGTTCCTGGAAATGGCAGATAAGGTAATTCAAATTTGACAACTTTACTGATGTAAAGTAGTACTGTTATTGAACTATATTTATGGAGGGTGATCCTTTCGGCGTATCCTAGGAAGTCGGTTGGTATTCACGGGCCCTAGTCTTAAATAAATGAGATAATGTGAGTCTCATTACGTCTCATTACGTTATTTAGGGGAGTAGATATTTTTTTTCTTTTTTTTAATCATGAGGAAAAATGCTGTGCACTCGCAGGATTTGAAACCACGACCAGCAGTGGCTCCAAAAATTAGCTAGGATAAGAGGTCCGGCATGTCCGACAGCAGTGGAGTCCAAACCAAAGGGTCGACTAGGGCCTCAATCAAAAAAATGCATTCTTATATACCTAAATTTGAATATATTTTTCTTTTTTCTGATTTTTTTTTTTTTTTTGGAAAATCCAGGGGGCCTGGGCCAGCTGGCCCCCCCCCCCATTCAGGGGGCCTGGGCCAGTTGGGCCCCCCCCCCCTTGTATCCGCCTATGTCATGGGAAGAGTTTTTATGGCTTCGTATGACCCACCAAGCTACATCTTCACTACTTGAATTAACAAAATGTTTAATGATTCCTCACACCATATAAATAATATTTTTATCATAGTACTTCAGTATTCTACCCTGAATATTAGCCAATACTTGGAGTAATTTTCATAAAAAATATTATCACCCCCTATATAATCCCAATCTCCAACTTCAGCGCTTTGTGACCAACAAGTACATTGCATTGGAATTGTTATTCATGCTATGAGGCCTGCAGTATTTCTAGGCTATTGCCTTCCCAAGCCTTTTTTGCCACACCATGGATGCACCACTAAACATAGGTGGTGCTAATGATGTTGCTATTACCGTACTCGCACGAATAAGCGCCCCATTTGAATAAGTTCCCCTCTTGAATAAGCGCCCTTCCTAACTCAAAAATATTCGTAAGCGCCCTGTTTGAATAAGCACTCCTCCTAAATTTAATGGTCAGTTTCAATGATAACAATTAATGTCCAAACTTAAATCATAGCAGTAACAGATACCATCAGATATGATAAATGTTGTTGAATATTTCAGAGTTTAATTTTTTTCATTGGTTTCTTGTAGTCACCTGATGCTGGATCTGGTTACTCATTGATTGATGTTGAGATGGTCAACATGTTCAAGTATAGCAGCTTTGCTAAGGTACCTTGGACCTGGACCACCATTTGGCCAGGAGACTGTGTTTTTATCCCTTCAGGTAAACTCTTGCTGTTTCAAATTACAGTGGCGTAGCCAGGGTGGGGTTGGGCGCTTAAGGAGGCTGAGCTCCCCTTCTTTGTTCAAACAGAAAAATTATTCACAAACAAATAAATGGAAAACTAGGTATTAACAGGCTTAAATTTTTCGTAAAAAGTCCCACTATTTGAGCAAAATTCTTGTTTTTTAATTTTCTTTTTATTATCACTTTGTGCCTACTGAGTCCAATTCTTCATTTTAACTAGTACTCAACACCCCTCCCCTTCCTTTTTTTGAAGTCCTGGATATGCCATTGAATTATGTTCACTTACAAGGAAAACAGAATTGCTGTAATCTTAATAACATTTGAATATCATATTTAAAATACATTAAACCAATCAAAACACTGAAAGCAATAATAGCAAAAATATGTTCATCAACTTTTAATATCAATCTTCTTTAAGTTTATAAATATCACATTATATTTTATTGTTGTTGTCTTCTGAACAACCTGGTCCCTATCAAATATGTTTTCAAAACAATTATTACAATACAATATCTTAAACTTGAATTATTATAATTTAATTTCTAATAATACGTTGTTTTATAAATGGTATATTATTAAATTAATGATTTTATTAATACTATTTCTCGATCAGGCTATTTTCATCAAGTGCGGTCTTATGGTCGCAGTATGTCTTACGCCATCTTATTCACCACTGAACCAAATTTTAATGATAGTGACTGTAGCGATGATTTTCCATACACTTCACTTGATCAAGTTCCTGTGTTTTGGACCTACAAGAAAGGTGACAAGGTAATTCACAAATTGATTTCATTAGTTCTGGGTTCTGGCCCGTTGCCACCTGGTTAACTACCAGCCAGCCTTTTACCACCCTGCTGTTGCCATCCATTATTTTGCCGGTTGGTTTAACAGGACTTTGGTGGTAATGTGCTTGAGTGGCCACAGACCAGGTGGTAGAGAGCCAGGTGGCAATGGGCCAGGTGGCATTTTTGTTGTTTCACAGTGTATTTGATCATGAACATATTATTTGCAGACATCAATCACTAGTCGAAAGGTCCACTGATTAATCTCAGAAAAGAAAGTATAATACATACTCCAAGTATTGAAATACACACCATCGTGTTGGGAATCCCAACACGATGGTGTGTATTTCAATACTTGGAGTATGTATTATACTTTCTTATCAATCACTAGTCATTCCGTGTCCTGCAATAACACATTAATAATTACAAGGAATATGATAATTTTTAGGAGTGTTTCCCCATTGATGGTTCTCGTGCCTTTAACCATCATCCACTGACAAGCCTTTGCCCCACTTGATTGGTGGGTCTTCCCGCATATGTGGTAAAGGTCTAACAATCTCTATTTACTCATTAGGGTTGAAAGCTCACATCACATGTTAACTCGATAATCAAATCTGCTTACTTCAGTGCTCTTGTGCATAGATTCACATAGATCAGAGGTAAAAATGGATGAGCCATACTAGTCTGATAATAATGGTTGTAGTATTCTTAATATTAAAAACAAGCAAAACTATACAAATATACTCCTCAAAATCCGGGTAACATTCTAGCGTTTATTGCTGGTTTGTTATAAACTGTAGTACTTAACTGTAGACTTAACAGGTGGCAGTTTGGATACACATAAACAATAACATAAAAATAACATTGTGTTATATTATTTTTATTATTTGAAAATTTGGGATATGAATTTCTGTCATCATTCAATTTGTATAGTTTTGCTGTTAAATATGCTCAAATAAAAATAAGATATAATATTAAAATAGAATGTACCCTGTGACTGGAAGGCAAAAATCTACAACTACACTACTTTACAATTCTGATTTACCGTTGTTTGATTTAGAAATATTTATGATGGTATCTACATACAGTAATAAACACATCTATTGCTCAGGAGTGTGTTTACATTAATAGGCCTACCTTTGTTAAAATTTTATTATAGCTATTATTTATTATATTATCTAACTTTACCTACATATTATTATTTTGCACCTGTATTGAACAAGTACTGTACTGTATTTGTATTGGCCTTCTCCAGTCTAAAACCCTATGCAGACTAGCGTCGCATTGTGGTCGGTTGTAGCAATTGCGACACCCATTCTCACTAATAATCGATATCGGTATATTACCTGTTGCGATTGGTTGCTACAACTTTTATACTCACGATTACCACGGAATCCGATTGCAACAAATTTTACAGGCACTGTTTAGCTGAAGTCAGTCAACATAGGCCTATCCACCGAAGCTCTAGGCCATAAGATTTTTGTGTTGGTCTGAATGTGCTCATTGATTGCGATCGGGAGTAATCAGTTTCGGATTACCACCAATTACATCGCAATCGATCGCAACGGAGTGTAGTCTGAATAGGGTATAAACAGACCTGGCCAAGCTGGTTGTTTTTATAAAAATTCTCATTTAATTATCTTTATTAGGTATCGAGTATGACACAGAACTAGACAAGATTTTCGATGACGGAGCTGTCAATGAAATCATCCAAGGTTCTAACATACACCTTGATCCTGAACGCTTAGCAAAGTCATCTCTATAACTGATATCAGTGCTGTACTTAATTCTGAAGTAATAGTAGAGAAATTTTGTATAATAATTACTGTACCGTATTTTTTGTAAAGATTTTAAAATTCATTTTACATTGAAATACATTGTAATGTCCTCCTATAAATATATAATAACATAAAAAATTACAAGATAACAATAATAGGTAAAAACTATCCCTTGCCAAACACCATCCTGGTATTATGTGAATCAAGTGTTTGTCTTGAAATTTGATGCTTTATTGTAATGGCTTAGAACATAGAGAAAATATATATATATTCCCAATGTTTAAACTAATATGCAAGGTAAGAACTATCCTCCGCCTGACTTCATCCTGGTATTTCTGAGTCTGAGTTTCGGGGCCGGAGTGAATTGAATATTAGGCTTAACAGTACTTAACTAAAAACTCAAATTTTATGGTAAAAGAACACTATCCCCTGCTGGACACCATCCCGGTATTTCTGACTCAGGGATGAAACTATCCCCCACTGTGGCCCTGACATGGTATTTCATGGTTTGCTGTCCAGCAAAAAGGTTCATCTCTCATTGTGACATTGTGCCTATTTTCACTGTCTCCGTATTAATTGTTCTAACTCTTAGCATGTTTTTGTGAAGATGATGGTATTAAATTTTAGTAAGAACATGTCAGAATATCTGTGTAACTTTTAAGCCTGGTTCTCACGAGAGACTTAGTATCCGGATCGGGAGCTAACCGTTAGCACTTGCGTGGGAACGCCCAATCGGTTAGCGCTAACCCTTAGCAGTATCCGGATACCGCTAACAGTTAGCAAGTTGAGTGCGTTTCTATCATCAACCAATCACACGTACGCGCTTACAATTTCCAGTTTCTTATTGGCCAGTGATTCGATCATCATATTTTTGGTATCCGGATCAGGATTTTCTCGTATAGACACACGGCAGCTAACAGTTAGCAGGATCCGGATCCTGCTAAACGTTAGCAGCCGTGTGAGAACATAGCCTATGTACATATTATTATGTGTAACATTTTTGTTTCATGCAAATAGGGTGCCAGTTGTGTATCAGTATTGAAAGTCTTGTTTAAATAAAGTTGAGCCTTAATATTAAGTGCAAATGTAAATAAGTAATTTGAAATTAAAGGACAAAATTATAATGTACACGATAGCCTTATTGTTATGAATCTGTGTGTGAAAAATGAAAGTGAGTCAATTAACTGTGAAATGTACTATGTAAACCAAACTTCACAAATAGCATATACAGCAAAGAAAACAATTAAAAATGAGTAAATATACAGGGCATTATGTAAAAAGATACTGGAATGTATAATTTTGAATAAACACGAAGAAGAATATCAATATTCAAATTAAAAATAATTCAATAGACAAACAGACCTATGTGAAAATTAAAGTGGAAATCTTATCTTTGTCTATACGGTATATAAAATGAAGATTTGGTGTGTGCCGAATAAGTTTTAAGGTGAATTAGTCAAATAAGGGGTAAATGATGTATAAGTAGAATATATATCTAAACAAAATTAATTTAAAAGATGATACAAAGAAATACTGTAATAATTATTTTAACTTTTATTTTATAAATTTTTTTTTAGATAAAAATTTCGAATAATTGTTATAATAAAAACTGTGAATTAGTCAAATAAGGGGTAAGTGATGTATAAGTAGAATATATATCTAAACAAAATTAATTTAAAAGATGATATAAAGAAATACTTTAATAATTATTTTATTTTATTAATTTTTTTTTAGATAAAAATTTCGAATAATTGTTCTAATAAAAACTGTTTCCAGATGGAAAACTAAGATGTTCAGCATTCATTATATTTTATCATTATAGGCCTCTAACCTACTATATATTCAATTGTTCACATTAAACATGCTTACAATACAAAACATTTCATGTTATATTTAACTGTTACCTGATGTCATACACTATATTACATTTATATACAACTAATAAGATTATTCGAAACAGATGTAAACATTACAGTAAATATAAATAATGGATTTAGGACAAACTGTGTGGAACAAGAGATATGATATCAATGTTTTAGAAATGGGGTGTGGTTAAAGATAATTATATTCTCTTTCCAAAAGAAATATGCATGTTTGTATTTAAATACACTACAAATCCTATTCCCTTGTAATGGACGAACAAATTCTTGACATACGTTTGGGTCAGTGACTTTCTATTGTGGATGCACCAAAAATAAAATGCATCATCACTAATTTCTAAAAATATTTTCTTACTGTACATATTCACCAATTTGATAAACATTTAAAAATAACACATATATTTCTTTTTAGAAATATTGGGCCATTTTTGAACTTCCTAAATTTTTTGACATACAAATGTTACACCCGTTTTACACAAACCATCAAGTTGCATATTTTTTTTTAATAAAAAGGGTTTTATTTTTCTTTCTAGTGTTTTATCTTATTAGTTTCCAATATATTCCTTTACAAAAATAATGAGCTCCATCCTTATAATACAATTTAACAAAATATAGGGCCTACTGCATCCAATTTTATACGTTTTTGACTTGTCACACTTTTGTATGGTGAAATATGGCTAAAAACAGGGCCGGCGGAACGTTTTTCAAAGTGGGGGGGCCCACTTATAAGATGAATGGGAATATGAATCATGCAGATCTGGAAAAACCTAGGGGATGGGGGTCAACATTTTTCCCAAAAAGGAAAGGGGATCCGGGGGCCCTCCCCCGGGAAAATTTTGATTTCTAGATGGCGGGAAATGACCTTTCTCGACTTTTAAGCTAGGTTTCTAATGACTTTGTTCTTCAAAAATTCAAGGTTTCCAAAGAATTGGGGGGTCCGGGAGTCCTCCCCCTGGAAAATTTTGATATCTAGAAGGCGGGAAATGAGTTTTCCCGAATTTCGAGGTGTCTTTTAATTACTTTTAAGTTCTTCAAAATTCAAAGTTTTCCCCTCTTGAAAACAGTCAGGTAAATTTATTGCATTGATATTAGAGTAGATAAGCCTTATGTATGTATACATACATTTAAAAAAATGAGTAGTTGCATACGATTTTTTCAATGAATCCACAAATCCCAAAAAGAAAGGGGGTTCGGGGATTCTCCCCCGGAAAAATTTTGATTCTTAGAAGGCGGGAAATGAGTTTTCCCGACTTCTGAGGTGTCTTAATTACTTTTAAGTTCTTTAAAATTCAAGGTTTTCCCCTCTTGAAAACGGTCAGGTAAATTTATCC